TAATGGCTGTGCTCATTGCAAAGCCCTTGGAGGTTCCTTGCTGCAACGCAAAGGCCTGGTGACCACAAAGGGTCACAATGCAAACATCAATGGCTGTGCTCATTGCAAAGGCCTTTCTCAGTACCACGCAGGCCCTTTGCAATCATCAGGTTCACCAGCACCCGTGCGCGCGCATATCACCTTGCACTCTGTGGCAGGGTTTAATTGATTTTGTGCGTTGACCTTGCCATGATTGGTAGGGTTTGTTCGGTAATGGTTTTTGACCCTGCTCTCGTAGGGTTGACATAAAAGTTTAGGCTGTGTTTATGCCAATGCAATCTATACGCTGTTGCAGAACTGGGTTTGGGTTTGCCACCTGCAGGTCATCGGAGTTCAAGGGAATCATCAAGGCAAAGACGATGGAAAGATATCGCAGGGTTTCGTACGCTTGCGAACTGTTTGTGATGTGTTTCACTTTGACGGCAGATTTTTACAGTCCTCGTCGTCTGATTCTTCTAGCAACGAGGCGCCGTAGAGCGCGCAAAGAGACTCGGACAGTCACAGAAAAGCAGGCGGCATCAAGTTCGTGCCTGATCATGTTTTGAGACTTCCTGGTAAACCTCTCAATTTGCGATGCTTGCAGAACATGTTGGATCTGCTTTGAGTTCATGTATATAAAATGCCTCAGACAAAGCAAAACAGATATTTGCAGTTGGAATGCACCTTGTTTTGGTAAAGCGTTTTGATGTTCGACTGGAACTCATAGTAAACCTTGCTGACCTGAGTTGCAGGGTTAGCTATCAAGCGCATATATGTGTGATTTGTCGTTCAGGGCCATGACAAGCATTGGCGCAAGGGTGGTGCGGGATGCAGAGCAAATCCAGGCCTTCATGGAGAGGCAACAAGAAGTCTTGTCTGAGGAACGGTTCCAAGACCTGCGACAGAAACAATTTGAATCCATGCAGAATCGGCTCGATTGCAACTCCCTGGACCTGGACAGCCTGAATCGGTTGACTGAGCTCTTTGCCAGCGGGCCTTGGACTGAAGAACAACAAGATCAACTCAGCGCTGCTGTCGCTGAGAATGCAGTACGGGCTCCAACGACTGGCAAGCGCTCAAGGCCAAATCAACAGATCAGTGACATGCTGCCCTTCTTTTCCGATGGCGACCTTGAGATTCTGGGCCAGGTGGATACTGGGTCCGATGTGAAGCTAGAATGCGTGGCTACGCGCTTGGTGTCTAGATCTTGCCGAACAGTCAGCGTTTGCTAAGTATTCATTTGGTGTGTTTTCATGTTGTGCTTTTTTGAGGGCTGGAATCGAAACATGTCTACATGTACCCTGCTTTTCCAGCAGGGTTTCGAAGAAAGACATATGGAGTCTCTGACTCACCGTCTGAGTTCACCTTTGATCAGGTCAAGCTCGGCATGCATCTGCCGAGCGAACAGGCTGTGAAGGAGGTCTTGAGGGCTGCTCAAGCATGTGGATTGGATGTGGAGAATTGCAACAAGTTGGATGTGGTTCGCCGGTTCAAGGCGATCTTGCGGGCCAAGGTCCGACAGGTGGGCCGGCCCGAGAAGCACGTTGTGGAGTATCCGACGGATCCCATGCTTCTCGAGGGTTGGGAGGAGATCTATGGCGATGACCGGCCATGTGGCCAGAGCAGCTCCCTGAGCCAGAGAGGGGAGAAATACAACGTACCCTTGCGTCGGACTAGGAAGTCTGCGCAGGAGTTGGTACCGGCCTCGAGCTCTGCGACGCAGAATGCCAACAAGGCAGCAGCAGATGCCGTCATGGCGGCATGTGTGCAGCAGATCTTCCCTGCTTTGATGCCACTCTTGAGCAACATGGGACAAGGAGGCCTTCAGAATCTCCAGGTGTTTCCCAAGGGCACGCCAAGCGTGATGCCGAAGCACGTGCCAGCTCTGGCGGCTGCAGAGCCTCCTGATGCCGATTCTGTGGCAGCAAAGCATGCAGCCCCGCTCGTGCGATTCCAAGACAAATCAGGCGTTTCCATGAAGCCTGCGATTCAAGATCGGGAGCCGATCCCAATTGTCAATGAAGTTCCAAAGTTGAGTCGGTCCAATGCCGCTACTATTGAAACAGATCGTGAGTCGGAGGAGCATGATCCTGAGAAGGAGTCCCGTGAGTTTTTACGAGCCAAGATGAAACGCCCGGCAGCGTCCATGATGGTCATGAAGAAGCCGGCCGCACTTGGGGGACAGGTTTCCTTCAAGTACACGGTGCCAAAGCCAGACAAAGTATGGAAGGGCAAGAGGCGGGACAATTGGACCAGCAAGCACTACCACAGTGCAAGGAACGCTGCTCGTGACGCAGGGCTCACCGAAGAGGAGTGCAAGGAGGTCGCGCGCAAAGCAGCCCGTGAAGCTGGCGCGCTGTGGGATGCGGCTCAGTGAGTATACAAGCGGGGCAACTTCGGTGATCTTTCAGTAGCCCAAATGGTGTGGAAAAACATGCCTTCGGTGATTTTTCAATGGCCAAATCGGAACATGTGTGCTTTGGTGCAAAAAACTGATGTTGTTTGCGCATGAATGCGCACTTGCTTAGTTGCTGTTTTTGCCTTTTGGTAGGCTCAATGCCTTGAAGCATACTTGCATTCCGCAGTTCTTACTTGATTTGATCAATCAAGTTCAAAACAAAGTTCACTTGACATGAGGTATAGTTTCAAGAATTGCACAACCTTGTACATGTTCCTGCATAACCAGTTAGATATCGCAACCTGGCTCATAAGCAGGGTTTTGCCTATACGAATTTACAACCCATGCCCATAAGCTGGGTTTGACCTGCTTTCTCGCGTCTTGCGGTTCAGATTCATGGCGCCCAAGAAGAAACGATTGAGTTCGGCTTCAGGCAACTCTTTCATATCCCAGAGTGCCTTGAGCGAGGTGCTCGACACAGTGAGGGAGTCACCAGAGATTTTGAAGCAAGGAACCTCAAGATGGTCTATCAAGCGGAAGCGTGAGAGTGAGGTAGACGTTGAGACCTACCATGGCAAAATGCTGCAACAAATAAATTTGGAGTTGAATGATGGATCCATGTTTCAGTCTTGGGTGGTTCACCCAATGTGCTTGCTGGAGCATCTAACCACGATTTCTCCGCGTTTCAAGTCCTTCATGAAAGAAATAATGGAACAATATCCCGGATGTTGGCGGGTAGCTTTGTACGCTGATGAAGTCAAGCCCGGCAACGTCCTTCGCAGTACATCTCAGCGAACTTGCTGGGGCATCTATTGGAGCTTTTGCGAGTACGAATTTGCACTTCAAGATGACATGAAGTGGTTCACTGTCATGGTCATCACATCGGAAGAGCTTAAGGAGGTGAAAGACCGTTTGTCACAAGTCTTCAGGGAGATAGTGCGCCTGTTCACCAACTGTTTCAACGGTGCCTTTTTTGAGCCAAATTGGTCGTGTGTTGCACGCTCGAATACATGTATGCGTAGCTGACGAGGCTGCATTGAAAAGCATCTACCAGAACAAAGGTGCGAGCGGGTCCAAGATCTGTCTCAAGTGCCGTAACGTCGTGGGACATGGCACCTGGCACAAACTGGTCAACACGTTTTGATCTCTGTGGCCACGCAAACTTATGTTTGAATGTGCGTTGGTTGTCGTTAACCACACACTTGCACGCGGTTTCTTGAGAAAAGAATTAGGTACTGAGCTTTGGCGCTACAGTGGGACGTTGGTGTCGCAGTGTGAGCATCGATGGGAGCTGTTCAAGCTGCACAGTGACGAAAGTGTATTCAAGACGGTGGATCACATCACAGGTCAATTTGGAGTCATGAGCAAGAAAAACTTTGATGAACTACAGCAATCGCTTGGTTGGAACCATGCTCCGTACGGTATCATGAGTGACCGTGCTCTTCGGTGTTCGTTTGGCCCTGCGTCGGTTGTCCAATTTGACTGGCTTCACGTGATCTTGCAGGGGACATACCCATTGGAGATAGAGCTGGCGATGAAAAGTCTTGGAGGGCTAGGTTTTTCTCCAGCCAAGATCTATGAGTTTTTTGAATTTCGATCGCTTGATAAATAGACGTTCAGTTTTAGTAATTATTTGCCAATTTTCATGTTGTTTTCTTTTCTTGTGGCTGATGTGACAATCTATATATACTGGCAACGTCAGTGAGGAAAGATATCAATTGGCCACGCCGTTGGCAGAGCTTTGGTCGATCCATCACCAAAACTCTTCTCAGAAAGAAGGAGTTCTCTGCAACAGCTTCAGAATTCTTGACTGTGTATCCAGCGCTGCGAGCGTATTTGCACTCCCTCAACTTACATGAGTCTGGAGATGAACATGTTCTCCGCGTCCTCCAGAGTTTTTTTGCGATGACTGATTTGCTGGAACTTGCACATTCGTCAATGAGGAAAGCAATCATGTGGCAGGAGAGCGCCTGTATTTTTGGCCGTTTCAAATTAAAGGACCGGATAACCCCACATATGAATCTACGAATCTTAAGTTTCTAAAGCACAAAGCAGTCAGAGTCTCAATAGCTTCTACAACACGGCCTTGTCAGGAAGTGATATCAGCTTCCTACAACAGAGGGGTGGGAGAGAAGGTGTAAGAGAGCGATGTGCACGACGGATGTACGAGGTATTGTGCACACAGGTGTGCGCAGCCACAACTAGCCAACAACACCAGCGGTTGTCGCACGTCCGCAAAATGGGGCATAATGTACGAAAGTTGTACTACAAAGTCGCCAGTTCTCAGCTTCCAGCTCCACAGATTGCTCCGCGTACTAAAGTTGTACAATCGAACAGCGTCGCCGGCGCCCACACCCAGAGCGGACCAGAGCCGACCAAGCAACCACCAGACCCTCTAACGGAGTCAGATCTACTGCGATTTACAATGGAACAGCGTCGACCAAGCAACCACCAGACCCTCTAACGGAGTCAGATCTACTGCGATTTAC